GGAGGGGCGGGAGCAGCACACAGGAAAGGGGCATCACTGGCCCCAGCCCTACAAAGGGAAGGGCACACAGCTTGGCTCCCAACATGTATGTGGGGCTTGGGATCTGAGAAATTGGCAGGGGGCAGGCAGTGGCGATATTAATAGCAACTACCCCCATGCCGCCAGATGTCTGTACCCGTGGGGAGCCCTGCAGTACACGTGCAATGGTTCTGTGGGCCACATTTGGCCTGCAGGACGGAGGTTTATATTGCTGAAAACTGTTCTTGACAATTGCAAGATGACTAGGGAAGTTCCTGAAAAAAAAAGGACACATATAAAAGAAAAAGAGCACTCTATTTAAAGACTTAGAGAAAAAATGTAATGTTCACAGACAGCTGCTACAGAAAGTTTCAATGGCTGTAACAGAGGAAACACAAACACGCCTGAAAGCTTTACATACAACTACTATTAAAGGCAAACCACCCCCCCAAATGTAAAACACAATTCTCTAGTATTTTTGCAGTAATAAGAGATTCTAATCCACCAAGTTAGATTCTTTACACAGACAGGCCACAAGACAGACACTCAATTTTTCAACATTATTCTGTTTCTTTAATATCAGTCTTTTTTTTTCTGTAATCTAGCAAACGAACAAAAAAAATTAGTTCTCCAGCTCCTAAATTAAAGGCATTTCCTAAGCTGCCTTTTAACATGTTTTCCAAGAGAGAGAGAGAGACACACTCCAGATCCACATTCTCCTTTTTAACAGTGGGTTTTTGAAAAGCACCATCCAAAATCTCAAAACTTGAACTTCAACTGCTGGTGGAAGAGAACCTGAGTTGTAGAGCCTGACTATACCAAAAAGCTTTGCCAGGACAACTGTGCCAATATCTAGATGCAGTTATAGCAGTAAAAAGTGTTCTCTCTCTGCCCCTCAGCATAGCTTATACTGGTTCATCAGGCACAGCAACAGCATAAAAAAAGCGCCATCCCCACAACACAGCTGTACCAGTAATACTTTTAACTGAAGACCTGGCCTTAGTCTGTGAAGATCTTACACCAAACAGGAGGGAAGTTTGAAACATACATATAGAATTAGCAATGAAAAAATAGTCAAAATGAATGCTTTGAGACTCATGCACCATAAGGGGCATTAAGGGCCACATATTTATATTTGTTCATCTTTAAGGATGAGATAATTATTAGGCCAAGTTAGATAAGATCCTAAAACCATCTAAATAAGTTTGACATGTTACTAACAACAAAAGCTATGTTAATGCTTGCAATGAAAAGCTGCCTACATACCTTCACTACTGCACATATTAACAATGATTTCCAGGGCAGTCTGCTGAGCCATCAGTAAAGCTGTCACTTGTTTCAGCTCCAATTTATCCGACTACCAAAAGGAAAAAAAAAAAAAAAAAAAAAAAAAAAACTTAATTAGAGGGAAACCCTTTAGGGCACTCTGGTTTTGAATTAGCTAGATTGCCAGCAAAAACAGATTAAAAAAATATGCATAATAGAAGTAACAGGAACTTTTGAAATTTGTCTCATGCTAGAGCTGTAACATTGAGTAGTAGTTTTTAATGTGACAGTCGTTCAGGAAGTATCATGTTTAAAGGACTAATTCACCACCCATCAAGATCTAGGAGTTGATCTGTCCTTCCTCTTTCTGAAGAGAAAATAAAGCCTACTAACTTTTTAATTAGCGTAAGACTTGTTTAAAAGTGACACTACCCATTTGCACTGGAATTTTACATGTTGGGGCTCTCTCACAGTAAACTTTACTGGAATTCTCAGCCAAAACGCTTCAGAGCTATTTCTGAGCAAACCACTATGGAAAACTACCACATTTCCTTAAATACAATTTTTTTTACCCAAAACCCCCTCATCTTACATTTACATACAAGAAAACCTCTTTAAATACACTAGTTATCATTACACTGCTGCCAAAAGCAGTGTGTTAGTGCATTTAATCAGGTTCCCATTAGCATGGCCCATATTGGGCAAACATGCCGATAGGAACCGTGTGTGTGTGTGTGTGTCCCTTAAAAGGAGACAGGCAGTTACTCTCCCAGAAGGCAACAAGCACCAGGCCTGCAGGTAGTGCAATACCAAGCTGGCACTCTAAGAGAGGCTGGAACAGCCTCCAAAACCCTCTTCTGGTGCCAAAAATGCTGATGGGGACATGTGTGTGGTGTGTGTGTCCTTTAAAAACAAAACAAACAAACAAACAAACAAAAACAAACAAAAAACAGACAAATGTCCCTTCCACATGGAACTGGCACCGGGCCTGGAAGTACTACAATACCAGGCCAACACTGAGAAGACCAGAGCCAGCCCAGACACTCTCCGCTTGGTGCCAGAGGCCAAGATTTTTTTTTATTTATTTTTTTAAATATTTTGGAAATGTTTTCACGTTCCAGGTCAGATTAGCCAGATCAGTTCCAAATCCTTTTGACTTAACAAAGCTCAATCATTCAAACACCGTACGTGGTACTGCAACCAGCAAGTATCCTCCACCCCAGACTTTTCACCCTGGGGAATTCTAGGTACTGCCAACTTTTTTTCAAGTTACAGTGAGCCACTGAACTGAATACATCTTAACTTCTTCAACACTCCCAGAGCTGAGCTCCCCCTTTCTTTCCCATTTCCAATGATTCCTGTTTCTACAACAGCCTTAAATGTCTGTCAAACATCAGCAACCAGCCCTAAATAGATCACCCAGAATCCTTCTGTCAATACATCTGATTAGTGTGGCCCTGCCCTCCATGAAGCCGATCTGGACCAGGCTGCCCTGCGTCTCATCTGCATATAAGTTTTTGGAGTATGGCAAGACTGTGACAAAAACACCCAGGTTCCAGTCATGAGTGGGGGATAATTAGCATGTGTTGCAATAGCACAAGGTTGGGGTTGCCATGAAGACTGGTCCCAGCCAGGCTGGCAGAGCAGGGAAGGGCGCTGCTCCAGAGCCACTGGGATCTTGCAGCAGGGGCAGCTTGGTCTGGGGCCAGGGCAGAGCCGTGATCTACAACTTTCATGCTCTGGGCAGGGGTACGTAGGCAGTGGATCATGGCTATGCCCTGGCTCCTTGCAGCACAGCTGCAGTCTGCTTCCTATGCACCCCTGCCCAGAGTGTGCAGGCTACAGATCATGGCTCTGCCCTGGCCCTGAATCAAGCTGCCCCTGCCACAAGATCCCAGCGGCTCTGGAGCAGCCCTCTGCCCTGCTCTGCACCCTGCCAGTGCAGCTGAGGCTGGTCTCCATGGCAACACCAGCCTTGTGCTATCACAACACAACTGTGGCTGGGGTCTCTATGGAGACCGGCCCAAGTCATGTAGCAGGGTCTGCTGAGAAATTGAGTCCAGCTGCCAGCCGGATCCACCATTTTGCCCACCCTGCCTTAACTGCTGTTCATTGGGGCCCATGTCAAATGAACTACATGGTAAATCATAAGGTTTTTGGCTTTGGACTAATATCGTATGTAGTTTAGCTCATGTAACTCTTTCGCCTTGTACTGTTTGTAAGTAGATACAAAAGTACCTGTGCTAAAACTTGCAGTAGTTTCAAAAAGTGCAAAATGCATCAATTCTAGGTGAACAAAGTCTATATGTAAATTACTACAGGTATGTTTATTTCAAGATCAGTGTTTTCAAATTTGCTCCTTGCTTCTACATACTCAGGGAGACTAGGGTCTGACAGTAAGGAGGAGACCAAAGATCTGCAGGAGGAAATAGAGGGGCTGAGGGCAGAAGAACTACCTCACCCCCGTTTTATTTTCCCTGCTGTAGCAGTGAGAGGGCAACAAATTCAAGGCAAACCTCCAATAATTAGATTTGATGCTTGGAAATTATAATTTTTCCAATTATAGAATCTAATTATTAGGTGGGGGGAGGGGGAGTCATCTTATATTCAAGTAAATACAGTATACTGCTTTCCCATTTTTAAAAATGCTGGTGAGCTTTTCTTTGAAAAAAAACTCTCCTACCCCAAGCTCTGAAGCAGGGCCTAGTATAAAGAATGAACCTTCTGCCATGAAAAACTGGCCAAATTCACCTTACAAGCCTCCGAAATATTTCTCTCTCCAATGTACTTAGTAGTGTCCCTCAACAAGCCCAAGCTATCTGGCGGTGAAAGCTGCCCAAATGTAACAGGGACAAGAGCCAGAACTTGGCTGGGGTTAGAAATTAGTACTAGCTGCAGAGGAGGGGAGATGTAGGAACCTGGACTGGCAATAGAGGGATTAGGACTTGCTGGGCAAAGAGACTTTTGAAGCCAAGATGAGATATTTGAGTAGTAGAGACTGAGACAGGTGGAGAAGAGATAGGAAATTTTGCAAATGTTGACTTTATGTAAGAGAATGTTATTGCTCATAGGCTCTAACACTGAGTAGCCTCCAGACTAAGGGAAGAGAGAGAGAGGGGCAAATCATGGGAGGGCTTGGGATTGGAAGGCAGCAATTCAATAAGGAAATTATTAAAAATGAACACGAGGCAAACCAGGCCCAACTTCAGGCTCTATACCAGTGCTTAATTCAACATAGCTGTTTCAGTCATTGAAGCAACAAGAAAAACTGTTCCTCATATTTTCTGCAAGGTCTACTTGAATGAAACCCGGAGTAACTGGGATAATGTTTGAATGCCATTAGTTGACCATGTCTGACAGCAACTCTGAAGTGTCACATGAGATATTATACTTTAGAAATAGCTTAGAGACATTTCCTACAAGATATGGATGTTGAGGGCACACAGGCTGCAGGGCAAGGTAAAAAAACAAAAACAAACAAACAAAAAAAACACAGCAGCCTCACGTTCTATAAAGTCAACCTTTGAAGTTCCTGCTAAGACCTATCCACATTTTTATTCCAGAAAATCCCAATGCCTTTGTGAGAGCTGGCCCCTCTTCCCAAATCACATTTTGCTCCAGAGATTAGATTCTCTATCATTTTATTATCTATGTGTAAGAACAACAGCAGGCTATTTGTTACAGTACAGACAATATAAATCAGTCTCATTCAAAGTTGTCCTTTTCCATGATGCACCTTCCAAACTGACTCAACTCAGTTTATTTCTGGGGTTAACCTTCCCAATTAAGTTTTCAGCATGCATTTCAGGCTAAATAATAGGCATGTCTTTGCCACAACTGAATTGCTATGGTAATTCTCCAAATCAAGGGTGACCAACTTGCAGCACATTTGCCACAAATGAGGCTGAGCGAGATCTTGGAGTCATAGCAGACTCCAAGATGAACATGAGCCGGCAGCGTAACGAGGCCATCAACAAAGCAGCTTGTCATGTATTAGCAGATGCATGACCAACAGATTGAGGAAGGTGATGCTCCCCCTCTATTCAGCATTGGTCAGGCTGCAGTTGGAGTAGTGTGTCCAGTTTTGGGCACCGCACTTCAAGAGGGACATGGAGGATCTGGAGAGGGTTCAGAGAAGAGCCATTCCCATGATTAGTGGTCTCTGGGAAAGACCCTACAAGGGGAGGTTGACAGATCTGGATCTCTTCAGCCTATACAAAAGATGGCTGAGGGGTGACCTTCTAGCCATCTATACATTTATCAGGGGAGGACAGCGGGGAATTGGGGATGTGCTGTTTACCAGAGCGCCCCAGAGAGTAACTAGGAATAATGGGTGCAAACTAGTGGAGAGTAGATTTAGGTTAGACATTAGACAGACTTTTCTTTTTACAATAGGGGTGGCCACAGTCTGGAAAGGGTTTCCAGGAGAGGTGGTGCTAGCACCTAACTTGGAGGTCTTCAAGAGGAGGCTTGACAAATCACCTGGCTGGGGTCATCTGACCTCAGTCCTCGTTCCTGCCAGGGGCAGGGGGTCGGACACAATGATCTATTGGGTCCCTTCCGACACTATAATTTATGACGTGGGCAACCTGTGTGTGGCTTGTGGAAGAATGCGGGGGGGGGGGAGACGGTAGTGCAATGGAATCTGATCCCCAGTCCCAACAACAGCACCTCCTGCCATGCCACATGTGCATGAAAGAAAGTCCAATTGTGGGTTTGGGGATCAGATCCCAGTCACACCATATTGCCAGTACAGGGGGAGCCTGAAATCACAGCAAGTTGCAGGCTGGCTACCCAGTATGCCCATGGCTGGGAACGCCAGTCAGATTTAGCCTTGGGACCTGATCAGAAACACAAATGTGTAATGATTCCGTGGCTGGTTCCTACTACACCTTAAAAAGCAGAGCATTCCCAGCGCTGGGAGCACCAGCTCACTGATAGGTTCTCCCAGCCCTCAGAGCACATCAGAGCCCTCAAGGGCTCCAGTAAGCTCCCAAGGCTGGGAGTGCTGACCAGTGGACTGGCACTTCTGATGCTGGGAGGGCACCAGGCCCCTCAAAGGCCCCAGTGCTCTCAGAGGGCTTGGAGCACCCTAGCCAAACGTTCCATTTAAGGCACAATGAGCCAGCCACAAAATTACTGCACAAAATGTATTATAATTTTGTGGCTTATTCCACGTTTTAGCGTACCATTAATTGCATGAACATGTGGCCAGGTTCATTAACTGGCTAAGCAAGTCTTAAGTGTAATGTCTGCCAGTGGCCCCAGGAACAGAACTCAGAACCTCCCAGTTTCTAATCCCTCCCTCAGAGGGACAGCTGCTTCCTTCAGAAAGACATGGGAGTTCTTTATTCTCAGTTGAAATTTCAAGCGTTTCCTAAAGACTTGTGATACTAAAACAAAAAAAGTTGTAGGCTCAGTTTTTAGGGAGAATTTCAGTTAAGACCGTCCAGCCATCTGTAAGAATAAGGCTAGACAGAAAAGTGAAGCTGACTAACAACTAATCAAAAACAAAATTAGAAGCAAAACACTACACGAAACCCTGTCAGCTAGTCTGCCATACTTACTGGAAGCAGATCCAGAACGTTATTTTTTCTTCTGGCTTTTCCTTTCGGTGTCTCTTCCATTTCAACATCTTCATTCAATATAGATTTGTCTGTCACGTCATCCATATTTTCCTCAGTTTCTGCCTCTGCAGCAAGCTTTAACCGTTGTGTTTCAGCTTCTTTCATCTGAATAATAGTTTCACCAGCATCTATTGCTAAAGATTCTGAGCAAATCTTCAACATAGCATTAACTGTACTTGCCAAGCTATTGGATGGTATAGTATCTTTTATATTCCAGCCAGTGCCTAAACAAGAGAGTCAGTGTCAAAACCCCTTTAAAACTATAGAATATATGATTTCTTTGCAGCCATAAGCTTTTACAACTAGTACAAGCTGTGATTTTCACACTCATCTTTTATAATCACATCATTCACTCAGAATATTCAAGTATTTTTAAAGATAAAAGCGTTATTCCCAATTTAAGCACAATCTGAAGCACAAAGAAATTTTTGATTTTCCCCAAAAAAATCTTGGGAACAGAACCCAACTCTAATTTCTAATTCCTTCCTACAAGGCAATAACTGCTTCCTTTAAAAGAACATAAGGACTCTTTATTCCTGCTTAAAATTTCTGGATCTTCCTATAAACTTGAGATATGCAACAGCAAGAGATGCAGCACAAACTTACTGCAAACAGTCTGGGACTAAAACCTCAAGCTATGGCAAACCTCAGCAGAAAGCTGAACAAAATATGTCACCAGCACTGCTCTGTAGAAACTGTGATATAGGTAAGCCACCAAGACTTGAATTAGTTTAATTTCAAACACCTTATTTTCTTAATAGCAGCTCCTTTTATCCTAATTCCATATTTCTTCCTTAATAAGCAACTTATTTCTATTCTGTATCATGCTTGTAAGTAATCAAAATGAAACATAATTCAATAAAATCCTTCCCTTCCAAGAACTGTACACTTAAGACAGGAGGATTCTTAATTTCATTTAATGCCAAAAAAATCATCACTGGTTCACCTAGAAAGATCAATACAAGATGGGATGTTTTAGCTTTTGCTTCCCAGCAGATGGGTTTAAAAAAAAAAAAAAAAAACAACTTATGAAAACAGTTTCTGGACTATTTCAACAATTTCAGACAAAATTTGGTTGGTCAGTCTAGACAAGCCAAACTATTGATAAACTATTTTCCAAATCTCCATTTTAGTACAACAGTTTGACCCTGCTTATAGTGACCAAACTAATTGTGTTAGAAATTGTTTAAAAAATGTTTACATTTAATAACTGTTCTGGCTAAAGGTGAGTTCAAAGTCTGTTTTCAAATTATTCAATAAGTCAAGATCAGAACAGTCTAATATTACTGCCTTGCTTCACTAGTAGAAACAAATAAACTGTTAACTTCATGCCAGATTGGGGCAGAATATACAACAGTTTTCAAGTATGTTCTAAATATACTGGGTATCTCATATGAGAAGGTAATGGAATGAAAATATAAAACTCCAGGCAATCTGTCAAGAATACACTTACAAACAATTTACCAAGGCCTCACTTCTAGCTGGCACTATGAAAGCATAAATTTGCTGCTAAAGATTTAACATAAGAAAAAAACAAGTCTTATGCATACTGAGCTCTGCTGCTACATTTCACATCTGAAATGTGTTATAATGTCCCATTAAATTATACCTGCCACCAGTGTCCTTAAAAGGATATATTCCATGGCAGGATCTGAGGATAGCATTACAGATTCCAATACTTGATGTGCAGAAGAACTGAAAGAAGAAAGAAGCTCTGGATTATCTTCTGTCACCGCTTGTAGACAATTTGCTGTTGAGACAAAAGAAGAAAAGTATACTGTTTTCTCTAATTTGAGGGGGTATTATCATTCTAAATGCTATTCTATTTCACAAATACAGGATAAAAGTAATTTGTGATACCACACTGACCTAACAATCAATCATTTTCTTATACAGTAAAAGCTGTGTTAACCAGGATTTCACTAACCAGAATACTTTATTAACTGGAATTTAATAAGTTAATAAATTATTCAGCCATGCTCCAGGCAGGCGGCAGGACTGGCCTGGCACATCACACCGGGCCACATTCAGCAGTGAGGCACAGAGACAGGGAGCAGAGCCCAGCCCACAGCTGCAGCCTGCGCCTGCCTAGTGCACAGATAAAACAAAAGTAGATTGAAAGAAACTTACCTGCCTGCTGGGCCAGTTATGATCCTGGCTGCGCAGGGTATAACACTCAGATAACTGGAATTTAAGATAACCGGCACCCACCTTACCCCACTCATGCTGGATAACAAAGCTTTTACTGTATTAACAAAAAAAATCCTCTCCTTTGCTCTTAATTAAGGAAGCATATAGAGAAGTAAGTGACATAAGGACCTTGTTACAAACTCACAATATTTAGAGGTGTTTGTGGAATGTCATGCACGTTTTCTTGAATTCATTTTACTGATATGGTATATGTGGTCTCTACATACGGATAATGTCAAGCTGTATTTAGTCTCCACATCCTTATGTTTCTTTGCATTGTGGCATTTGTTATACAGCAAAAGCTCTGTTATCTGGCACTCATGGGGAATGGAGGGGTGCCAGATAACCAAATATGCCGGCTACCTGAGAGGCCCAAACAGGCATCTCTCCTTGTTTGGGCTGCTGCCCCTCCCGCCGCGTCTGGTGCACCGCTGCCCCTCCCTGGTGTCAGTTTGCCAGGGGACAGGGAGGCGAGCCCCACAGAGGCTGCTTTGCCCCAGGCTGTGGGGGCTCGGCAAAATCAGAAGTGCCACAGCAGGCACTTCCGGTTTCGCTTTTGCTACGTCGACTGGCAGGCCAGTTAATGGAGCACACTGGTTTCTAAGGTGCCAGATAACACAGCTTTTACTGTAAATGTATTGTTTACATGTTTTAGTAGGCCTAGATTTCATAAGTTAATAATGATTTTTAGGTGTTACTCCTCAGACAGTGAGTTTTCCTGGGAGATGATTCAAGCCTAAATAACTGAGAGAAGTAATCATTGAGAATTAGCATCTGACTTAGCTTTGTTTAATGGCCAGTCAAACTGACCCTTGCCAACCTGATTTGAAGCCTTTGAGTGAGGCCCTTGCAGACAACCACGAATTTACATTGTAAAAGGAGAGAACTGTAGCAAGAATAATACTTGGGAACAGGCTATTCAGGAAAGGATATTTCTCACAGTGGGGAAATTAAGTAAGAGAAGGTATCCTTAGGATGTGTCTGAAAGGATGCACATACTGTGTCATAATTGGAGCAGGAAAGACTTCTGCTCTCATAAAACAGATGCACCCTAAGGGACAGGAGGTTATACATATAGTATGTATGTAATATATGTAAACAGCCAGATAAGAAACCATCCTTAAGTCTTGCCATGAGAGCAAGTGTTTGTTTTTAGTCTTCTCTGACACTGAAAATGACTTTAGATCTTCAGCCAAGGGGCTGAGTGTTCTGGCTGCAGAAGTTGAGGGTACCCTGAGAAGATGATCAGAGGCAGCAGCTGCTTTCTAACCTGTGAAGCTGAGAAGTGAGAGTTACATTCTTAGACCTTAGGGCTAAGATGGAGGGATAAGGTAAAATCGTCATTCTATTATCTTCTTTTGTTTATTCTTATCTTTCTGTCTGCATCTTCATATATGGTTATTGATTTCTTATGATTGCTCTTGTTTTTATACTAAACATTCTTATTTTTTTATAACAGTACTGTCAGTGGTAGGTGTGACTAGAGACCATTTGGCCACACAAACAGTCCTCTTCTATGAAAAGGAGGATCTAAAATTTCTGAGCACGTGACCAGACAAAGGTGTGATTCTTTTAGGTGGCAAAATCCCCTCTATTAAAAGCTGACAAGATGTGGGCAAGATGGGTAAAGCTCATGGGTCAGCTTGGAGCATCTCAGTCTGTTCACAGTGGTCAAGCAGCAGTCAGCAGAAAGGGGTCTGGGATTGAAAGGCACCCAGGAAGGTGTGAGAACACACTAGCAATGTGTCTCAATGGCTAATCTGATCAAATCTGGGGTTAGCCTGCATTACATATTTACTCTTGCAAATACTTCTGCATGAATAACTTCACCTATAGGATTAGCTTTATTGACTTCTGTTACTCGTATACAGAAGCATTTGCAAGATCAGACCTTGATGGACTATATATAAGAGAAAAAGAAACTGGTTAGGCAAAAAAACAAAGAAAAAAGACAGATCAACCATAAATCAGTTTTTCACATCTTTTGAATGTCCACAATACTTTTCCTCCCATAGAAATAGTCAACTGCAGTGGAAGAAACAAGCACAAGAAATTCAACCTCATTAGTAGTCACACATTTTCAAGTTCTTTTCTGAAGTCTTGTTTTCCATTTGTAAATGTATAGCATCCCTAAAATGTCTGTGAATTGCCATGAGACATCTCTACATTTAAAAAATTAAACTACATTAAGATCACTACCATCCTCTTTCATCACTTACCTGCAGAGATAGCCAGATCTACATTTGTGGAGAACTTCTTCAAGTACTGTAACATGGCATCCAAACAACCCTCTTTATTGAATATAGATACTGCTGTGCCATTGCACTCACTAATATATAAACAAAGAATAATACAATACTTATTAAAGTAAATGTTGCTAGTCAAAGTACAGAGTTCTATAAGACAAAACAAATGAATATACAAAATCCACAGAATTTGTAGAGAGGAAATGTTACAACCAACAAAAGGTCATTTGGACTGCATGGAAATTTGTGCAGACAGGTATCTGCAGGAAAGAGGATATGAATGGTCTTTAAATCATTGTGTTATTGCACTGATCTTCACACACAAGGAAAGTTATTCCCCTTTTCCCTCAGTTAATATATTCCTAGGGAAAATATTTTTTCAGGGGAACTAAATAATTAGGAAAAGCCCTACCCAATTTGATAATTACACAGTGCTTACCATACATTCCAAAGCACATTAACAGCCTCATTGGCTATGTCTTCAATATAATTTTTGTTTGTATCTTTGCATTTCTTTGGGGAGGCCTGGTTGGGGTCGAGTCCAGCACTGCACTGTAAGCAAACAAACAGACCAGCTAAGAGAAAGGCACACTTAGAAGCAGAGCAAACTAAAGATCTCAGGTCAACATCTTACAGCTAGCATGCAATTCTCCACAGGAAGAGTCGGGTAAAAGCCAAATGGTTACCTTCTAAAGGAGAGCAGCAAATGTTTACAAAAATCACCTGGTATAATATCTGTTTTCCATTCAGTAGTTTTCAAGAGCGCTATTTTTGGTAAACAAATGTTTAACAAATTTACACCTTGAACTCTGCTATACATGTTACTTACAAACACTGTCTTCACATTTCCATTAATTTTGACAACACTAATTAGAAACGCACTCACTAGTCACACAGTGCTTTACTAACGTGGTTATTATCCACATTTCGTAAATGGGGAAAGCAACCAATGAGGTCAATGGATAAATGGAACCGTGACTTGGCTTTAAATTTTGTGTCTTAGCTACTAGACCAAACAGAAATTATATAGAATAATTAAAGATGTTAAGAATATTTATTGCTCATGGTTACAAAAACAGTAGTTTCTTCAACTGTAAATTCAGTCATTAATGTAGATGTTGTTCATCACTGTAATACTTGTTAGAGATAGGATGCAAGTTTGAAGGTGGATCTGAATTGTCCCACACAGGTAAACATTCAAAGCCAGGAACCCAAGTTCTCATTTTGTAGTCATATCTATCAGCATAAAGCTTTTATAGCCACATCAAGTCCCAGTAACTTCTGGGACACTACATAGATACAAGCTGGCAAATAACACAGAATCAAGTCATTTCTTAGAATCTCTAAATTTACCTCTAGGGCTCTTTAAACAAACCATGCCTGAAGAGTTCCTCTCTGGAAAGGATTTAGTTGCAATTCTTAAAAGGAAAGTTGTTATGGACATCCTTTCCAAATCTGCTTGCTGGATATCAATTAAAAATAAAAGAGAAAGCCATTTACAAAACTAAGACAAGGAGACGCATGAATCTTGCCAGATCTCAAGCGACTCCTCTAGTGTAATCCTGTCAGTGTTGCAGTGTTAAGATACAATTAAGGTCTTGTACCCATTTTCGAAAGGGAAAAATTTAGTGACTGGGACAATTAAAAAAAAAGTTGGAAGTAAAGAAACAGGCATACCTCTTTCAAAAGTGCTACCAGGGGTGTCATGATATCTTTAGTCACCATGTCATCACAAACTTCAAAGCCTCCACAGGCACTGAGATTTCTGAAAGAAGTAAAATGCTTTTAATCAGATGTTACCTGACTTTATTTTAAATGAAATGTATTTAGCAACAATGAACTAGAAGGGGTCTATGTCATCAAATCCAGTCCCTTTGGTTCTGAGGCAAGAGACTCTGTTAATCCCCATTAAGGGATGCCCATAATCACCATGTTAAACCGTCACACTCAACTGTGAGATACAATACCCAAAATACCATGAACAGCCTCTAACATGCCCTAGGTTAAAGCCAGGCAGATCAGGACATTGACAATAGCCTGCTGCCAAAACAGCAGCAAAAGTGTGGGTGAATATTTGCTTAGAGGATCCTAAGGAAAAATCAAAACAAAACAAAACCTGTCCTACTCTACAGAGGAAGCAAGAAAAAAAGTAAAATGCAAGCAAACCACAATTACTTCTACTGTAACTGATTTAAAAAATATTCTAGGTTTCACTTCTAAAAAAAAATATCTTGTTTAACAATCTACATGCTACTATACACATCACCAACTTTGGTCTATAATATTTTTTAATGTAGAAATACTTTAAGGATAAAATTGGAAAGATGACATTCTTCTTTTTCTTATACTAGAAGCCCTTTGTCTTAGCTATCTATCAAAGTATTGCATTCTTACATTTTTTATTTATTAAATGCTTACCGGAGAGCTCCAGCAGCTGTCTCACGAACAGCTAAACTTTGATCTAGCAACATAGGGCCTAAACACCGGACAACATCTCTCTGCAGAAAATCTGGGATTGTATGCTTCTGCTGCAACAGTTTTGAAATGCTGGCACAGGCAAATTCCCTTACTTCAGCACTTGGGTTTTGCAGCTAGAATAGATACAAGCAAGGATGATTAGAAATCATCAGGGATCCAGGTTCTGTTTCCCATGGAAAAACAAAACAGAAAAACAAACCCATGGATTTTCCAATTTACCAGAGGAAAAAAATGCAGATTTTTCATTTTAACAGAGAAACATGTGGAAGAAGCATGGCCTTGGCTCAGGCTCACTTTTCCTGCTGGAGCTTGTGGGGTAAATGGAGCTTGTAGGGGGCTAGGGACCAGCTGGGGACCCCCTCCAGCAGTGCTGGGGGGCTGTGAGTCAGGGCTGGGGAAGCTGTGGACTGTGGGAAGAGCCAGCAGGGCGGGGGGGAGGGGGACAGGGCGAGGGTTTGTGAGTGGGGGCTGAGGGAGCAGGGAGGTGTCTGCAGGCGCTCTCAGGCTAGCATGGGAGAACCCAGGCAGCATGCCCATGCCCCACCAGGGGTGGGGATGGGCAGGCAGGTGCCTAGGAGTGTTAAGCACCAGGGCACTTGCCCTGTCGCCCACTCCCACAAGGAGGCAGCGGTGGTCACAGCACAGCACTAAAACTCAGGGGATGCTGCAGTGTGCCAGAGACCTGGGCGGGTGCCAAATTTCTGCACCACTGGACTGGCCAGCTGGCTCCATGCCTCCATACAGGGCTTCCAGCACTCCAGCAGGAAGCAGCATGTGGAGGCAAGCAGGAGCCCTGCCCAACCCAATGGCACACTATGCCATGCCTCCACGTGCACCATCAGGCCAGGCAGGAAGCTGCACATGGAGGCACGGAGTCACATACCATCAAGCCAGGCGGGTTCCTGCTTACTTCCACATGTGGCTTCCTGCTGAAGTGCTGGAAGCTGCATATGGAGGCACAAAGCCCACCCAGCTCCATGGTGCGCAGCTCCTGGTTCACATGCTATCGGGCTGGGCCAGCCAGCTCCGTGCCTCCACGTGGGGCTTCCAGCACTCCAGTGGGAAGCCGCACATGGAGATACAGAGGCCACCCGACCCGATGGCGAGCAGCTCCCACCTGCAGAGCTGCGATCTGCATCTGGTGATATGGAGCCAACCTGGTCTGGTGTGAAGGTACATGCCGACAGGCCAGGCTGGCTTCCTTCCAGCACATGCAGGGCCTGGGACTCTGCCAGAGGCACACACTGCCAAGGGCTCTCACAGCCATGAGCGCCCTGAGGGCCCACCACCTGCTGCTGCTGAACTGCCGGCAGTGGGAAGTGTGCACCACAACCCCCCACCACAAAACCCCATACCCACCCACAAGCCCCACACACCCACCCCGTGCACCAAGACGTGGTGGGGGAGCTGCTGCTGGGAGTGAGCAAGTTGGAAGTAGTCAGGGAGTGAGGGGCACTGGTAGGGCTGGGGCAGACTGGGGCTTGGGAGTGAGAGGTAATGTTATATCAGGGCTGCTCAGCACCACAAACTAGTGGTGGGGAGAGAGGAGGAGACAACTGTAGCTGGACCGGCAGCCTGATAAGTGACAGGGACAGCAGGACTTCTGATTTCCCATGATGAAAAATCCAAAATCAAATGCCAAAAGGTATTGTATTCAGAATGTATTTTTTTGTAGTGACTGAGGCACTGGTAGGCTTCCAAACTGCTTTAAAACTGTAAATCTATCAATAAAACATTGCGTTCAACTGATACCTGTATATATAGTGGCCTTTCATCACAGATTTTGGGTTTTTAATTAAAAAGTTTGCAGTGGGTTTTTCTGAGAGAATTTGCTATTTTAAAAACAGAGAGAACTAGGATGTCTGGAAATCATGTTTGATGGAAAAAGTTACATTTAGCAAAGTATAAAAACCTGCAACTCCAAACAGAATTGGATTAGCAGAGCACTAAGCATGGCCTGGGTCCAGGGTATGACTGTAAACTTTATCCAACTGGAGGGCCTGGGGGGCAACAGGGTGGGGCTACTCTTCTAGAATATACCACAATGTTGCAACCTCCACAGCAAGGCAAGTACAGGGCACCTCAAAATCCTGAACCCCACTGCCTTGTAGCTACTCCTTGGGTGGAGAAAAGCTAAGGGACATCACCCTGATAGAAATGTGCCTTTGCTGAGACACTGGGCAGTCAGCAGCAGTTCTTATTTGTTCTCAAGCTGGATAAAAAGTAATGATTAAAAAAAAAAAAAAAAAAAAATATCAGATTTCTTAAATTTTTTATTTTTTTGGTAAGATACTTTAAAAAAAAAAACCCAACAACCGATATAAAGGTAGTTTTAATCTAAGATGTGTTAAAGCTCAAAGACATAATCATGGAATAGGGATTATAACTTCTAATTATATAACATTTGAGACAATATATTCATGTAACCTTTTTAGAAAAGTTTTATCAGTAAGTCACAACAGGCCATGGACTATATCAGGGGCCTGATCTAATGGGGTTCCCAGAAGCTCCTTTATAGATTAGTAAATATTAAAGAAAACTACTCTATTCTGTTGGACTCAGTGCTCAGCCTAGAAGATCCCATTAAGTATCAATGTGATGCTTAGTTTCAGTTCTCAAACTGTGAATTTGTCTCTCCAGAGATAACATCCTTGTTAACAGCAGTGTATGGAGATGAGAAATAACAGACCTGATTACCTAGCTATCAGCTCTCTTCTCTCTCTGCAAATTTGTGTACACAGTCCTTACCTTTCTCTAAAAGTGCAAAGTTTCAAGAAGTTAAATGAATGAATGAAGGATATCAAACAAAAAGAATGCACTTTTTTGTAGAAAACAACAATTAAACCGAGGCTTCCTGATCAGTGATTTAAATTACTTTGATTTAAATCAGATCCACCCCGTCTGTCCCTCTCTAGCAGAAGCTACAACCATTGAGGCACTAAACATCTGGACTCGGTCTGGCCTTTGGATTCTGTCTCAATGGTCTAAAGCAGGGACAGTAAGTCTTGGGCAGTTGCCACTCCATACTCTTTCTTGCCTAAGGGTACATGTTGAAAGTCTTGGTGACTAGACTTCTTATGCACATACCATGATCCAGAGGATCAGTGGTTGCCTACTAACCGCGGCATCCCATGTGCTTTGATTTATTAATTCTGCAAATAATAAAAGATGTTTTAGTTTTTAAAAAGCTAAAATGTATTAAAACTCTTCATCTAGCTTTAAGTCAATAATGTCATACTATTAGGAGGTGGGGAAGCTAGGAACCCTTGCATGTATGGGAAGCCCAGAAAAAGATTTGGGGGTTCTAGTGGCTCACAAACACATACAAGTGTGCAAGACATCACTTCAAAAAGGCTAAACTACCTCTGTGCTGTTTCCCCAGGAGGGATGAATAAGCCACAAGAGGAATATGCACTGTTTTGGCATCATGCTTTAAAATACACAGACAGTGAAGGTGGTCCACAGGGCCCATGGCAAATATTAAATTTTAACATGTTGACAGGGCAAATGATTGGGAGATACTTCTGCGCCACAGCCATGAGCAACGCATGCCCCTGGAGGCTGGAGGTGCATGGCGAGCACTCACAGGTAGTGGCGGCATTAGTGAGCACGGAGCTCCCGCAGGCAGCTGTGGCAGTGTTGGCAGCAAGCGGGGAGGGATGGCAAGTGGTGACTGCCCGCACGTGCCGCTGACAACGTCACCGGCAGCCAATCTCAGGGGGTTCACATGCACCCCCTATGCGTTGCCAATGTTTTCAACCAGCAACAACTTCATGGCTGGTCCACCCTTTTAATCCAGGAATAAACTGGTCTGACACCTGGCATGTTATGATTCGTTGCCCAAGAGTTGTGTGCAACACATGGCAAATATAACATGTGCCAGAGGCCATAAGGAACATGATGAACAATTGCCCCCACAGGACAGGACAAGAGGAGAGCAACTTCCGTTGCAACAAAGATGATTTAGGCTATTAGAAAAAACTTTCCAACTACCAGGGAAGCAAGGCAAGAAGCACCCTAGAGCGGATTTTCCTTTGCCATAAGTTTTGAAGAGCAGATCAGAGACCCCTGTGCCCAGGAAAATGCAGATCGCACTAGCTAGACTAAACCAGGGGAGTTCACCCTTTTCCCCTGGTGGGCTGCATAAGCAGTGGCCATGTCTGCAGGCCAGATCCTGCGGGTGGTCCTGATCCGACTCTGTCAGCGGCAGCAGGGACCACCAGCAGCAAGGAGAGGGGCGGGGACCGCCTGGCCCCAGGGTGAGGGGATGTGGCCCAGCCCCAACCCCGCGCTGCGGCCGCAGAAGGGGGCACGACTCCGGCCCAGCTGTCACGGGGCCCCAGCAGCGCGCGGCGAGGAGCTTGGGGATCCGGCCCGAGGCGCGGCCGGGGCTGCCCCCCT